TGCTGCGCCCGGCCCCCGGCCCCCTGCGCCCCACACACGCCCCCCTGCTCTTCTCCCCGTACTGAGGGGGACGGGGACGGGGACGGTGACACCTCTGGGGGTGACAGGAACAATCCTGAGGGTGACGGTAACGGGGACACCCCCGGGAATGGCAGTGACACCCCCAGGAGAGACAGGGACAGTCCTGGGGGTGACAGGGACAGGGACACCCCCGGGAATGGCAGTGACAGTCCCGGGAGTGACGGGGACACTCTCAGAAGTGATGGTGACAATCCTGGGGGTGACAGTGACACCCCTGGGGGTGACAGTGACAATCCTGGGGGTGACAGTGACACCCCTGGGGGTGACAGTGACAGTCCTGGGGGTGACGGTGACACCCCTGGGACAGACAGAGACAGGGACAATCCTGGGGGTGACAGGGACGGGGACAGGGACACCCCCAAGGGTGACGGTGACAATCCCAGAAGTGACGGTGACAATCCTGGGGGTGACTGTGACACCCCTGGGGGTGACAGTGACAATCCTGGGGGTGACAGTGACACCCCTGGGGGTGACGGTGACAATCCTGGGGGTGACGGTGACACCCCTGGGGGTGACAATGACAATCCTGGGGGTGACGGTGACACCCCTGGGGGTGACGGTGACAATCCTGGGGACAACGAACCCCCCCGAACAGCCCCTGGGAAAATCCCGGGACAATTCCTTGGGAAAAGCCTGGAATAGCCCCTCCCCCCACCCCGGGAATTCCCCTGGGAACAACTGGACAACAGTCGGTGCCTGGCAACCGTTGCCTGGCAACCGGGAACCGCCTGGCAACGGCTGCCTGGCAACCTTTAATGAGCGACTGCCCGGTGACGGTCACTTGGTGACGGTCAGTGATGGTCAGTGATGGTCAGTGATGGTCAGTGATGGTCACTCACTGATGGTCACTCACTGATGGTCACTCAGTGATGGTCACTCAGTGATGGTCACTCGGTGACAGTCAGTGATGGTCAGTGATGGTCAGTGATGGTCACTCAGTGATGGTCACTCGGTGACAGTGATGGTCAGTGATGGTCACTCAGTGATGGTCACTCGGTCACTCGGTGACTGTCACCCTCTCAGCCCCTCCCCCATGGCCTCCCTGACAACGGTTCCCTGGCAACAGGACCGGCATCCTGCCCGGCAACCGGGGATCTCCCTGGCAACGGTTGCCTGGCAACCGCCCCTGCCAACCGTCCCCATCATTGTGGTACCCGGCAACCGGCCCTGGCAACCAGCCCTGGCAACCGGCTGCATCCACAGCTGCACGTGGCAACCGTCTCCTGGCAACCGTCTCCTGACAACCGTCTCCTGGCAACGCCCCCCTCCCCCCCC